GATCTTTACTCTGTTCCTGCTTTGCTCTTCCCAGTCACCATGACCCTTCGTGCAGAACTCCCCGGAAATCCAGCAAATTCAGAGAATTCCAGACCACCCTAGCCAGGACAACTCACCGTTTCTCTCGCCCGCATCGCACCAAAGCCCATCTTGCGAGGTCCGGCACAGCCACCGGCACCACCTGGCGTGACTCGCGACGGGGATGCGACTGGGCTTGAATCTTGACTGGGCAGCTTGTCCACGAGGTTATCGACGAGGAGGGAGGTCGAGAGGGCGCCCGGCGAGGGTGGCACGGTGGGCAGCGCCGTTGCCCAACAACCTTGCAGATGCCCTGAAGGTGGGCAGCTCTCCGCAGAAATGCCCCCGGCTTGCCAATGGCGTCAGAGTGCATTCTCGCCGGGAGAGCTTTGAACGAACCGGAGCCTACGAACGAGACCGGGTTCTGTTAAAATGCCATTCCCCTCTGCTGGCACCCCCGAATGGCGACTTTTGGAAAGATGGGCACCATCCGTCTGTCGCTCCGTGGTGTCCCCTTGCTCAGTGACTCAAACATCCATTTGTATATCACTCGCGAGTTCGCCCCATTCACGAAGCCGTCGATTGTTGGCTTAGACGAATGCTGGTGCTGCTTTTGCTTCTCGTGATACCACAACACCACCTCACTGCGCAAGTCAAGTTTCAAGCAACGGGCCTTGTCTTTCGACGAGACTCTTGTAGGAGCAACACACTCAACTCGGCACACACCCCGTAGTTATCATTTACCTTTCGCCAAGCGATCTCAACTCAGCTCAACTCTCACCCCGTCTCTCACATCAGCTCCAGCTCGGCCGCCAAGCGGAGCCGCAATACGAGCCTCATCGATCGAGTCAATCTATTCCGTGCGGTCTGATACGGCTACACAGCATCGAGAGTCCCGTCCCGTCTTCCGGAAATATCGCTTTGCCTTAGCAGCGTTTGGGCAACCGCTCATCGCGACCCTGGACAGCGTCTTTGGTTGGCTGAGAGCAGCCGTTGAGCGCGCTTAAAAAAGGCTTCACCCAAGTCCTCCACCTCACCTTGCACCCGCACCTGCCTCTCTGCCTTTGCCTGGTGCCGCCAAACGGACGAAACAAAGGCTTGGGCCAAGTCCAATTTCCTCAAGGCCACGGTCAAAAGGGCCTTTGCAGGCTTTATTCCTTCTGCCTCGAGGTGTGAATCAAGTAAGCAGTCTTTCTTCTTTGATTTCGGGACCCATATCCCCGTCCCCCTGCTGCTGCTGCTGCTGCTGCGCGGCTGCTGCGTGATCCCGCGGCCTCGACCTCGGCCGTGTTAGTCGTGCCTTCCTTTTATTGTACTTCCTTCCCATTCACGACTCCCTTCTCTGCTACACCTCTCCCAACCCAAACTCAATGTTCTTCACCTGCACCTCAAAGACCCCACAATGGATTCATAGAGAGCTTGTTCAGTACCAGTGCTTGACGAGTTTCCTTTGTCAATTTCCTTCTTTCCTCTTTTTTCTGTCTTTGCCTCGACGAGTGATTCACCTAATTCAGTCACCACCGCCTTCGACACATAATCCTCTCTGCTTGTCGACCACCACCGCCTCCTCTCTTTTTGGACTTTTCACATTTTTTTTTCTTCTGCTTCTACTTTTCTGCTGGCCACGAAATTTTTGCATCAAAAATCTTACACCATCGATAGACTCAAGATGTTTACCTCGCGGAAACAACAAGAGGCCTACCCGGCCGTCCCCGACTCCCTGAGGTCGGACTCGCTCGAGATGTCGGAGCTTAGAAAGACCCAACAAGCTCGAGCCGACACCTCACCCTACATCACGCCCTATCTCGGCCTCAGTGCCAGACTTTCGCAAATCTGGATCAACCGCTGGACGATCCTCCTCTTGCTCGTCCTGCTCAGAATCATCATCCTCATCGCCAGCTTGAACGACAATGTCGACGAGGCCAACGCAAAGGCACTGTCTGCCTGTACGAAGGTGGAGGATATCGGCAGCGCCATGGCTTCCATGCCCCACTACCTTTCCGTCGGTGTCAACGAACTGTCCGCCAAGGGCATCGAAAAGACCCTCGACGGCATGGTCGCGGTGCTGGGTCTGGTCATCACCGGTGTCCAGAACCTCATCATCTTCGTCATCAACATGATGACCTCCATGTACACCTGCCTCATCACGGCCTTCGTTCACGGTGGTCTCGACGTGGCTTCCGATGTTACCAAGAAGGTCACCGATGCCATGAACAAGGCTATTGGCTCCATTACCGACACCATCGACGACAAGGCTAAGAGCTTGCAAGACGGTATCAACAAGGCGGCCAGTGCCATCGAAGACTCCGTCCTCGGCAAGGTTCTCCCAGACTTCCCCAAGGTCGACTTCACCGGCCCGGTCAACGATCTGCGCGATATCAAGATTGACACCAGCGGCTTCGTCAGCGATCTCAACAAGCTCAACGACGACCTTCCCACCTTTGAAGAGGTCCAGAACATGACTGCCGAGGCCATTTCTTTCCCTTTCAACTTGCTGAAGCAGACCGTCAATGACGCCTACGCTGGCTACAAGTTCGACCGCTCTGTCTTTCCTGTCGCGCAGAAGCAGGCACTCACGTTTTGCTCGAACAACAACAACATTTCTGATTTCTTCCGCAACCTGAGGGACAAGATCACCAAGGCTCGCATCGCTTTCATCGTCGTCCTCTCCATCCTGGCCGTGTTGGTCATTGCTCCTATGGCTTGGCTCGAGATTATGCGCTGGAGACGCGAGCGCAAGACGGCCAAGATCATTGCCAACGGCCAGTACGACTCAATGGATGTCGTTTACATTGCTTCCCGCCCCATGACTGCGACTTATGGCGTCAAGATTGCTTCCCACTTCAAGGGCAAGCGCCAGATCATGGTTCGCTGGGCCATCGCCTACGCCACGTCTCTTCCGGCCCTCTTCGTCCTGGCTCTTGCCATCGCTGGCTTTTTCTCCTGCCTGTGCCAATACATCATCCTCAAGGCCGTCCAGAAGGAGGTACCGGCCCTGGCCAATCAGGTCGGCAACTTTGCCGGCGAGGTCGTCAACACACTCGAGGGCGTTTCAAAGGAGTGGGCCGACGATGCCAACGGCGTCATCCTCAACACCCAGAACGAGATCAACAACGACATGCTTGGATACGTCACAAACGCGACGTCAGCGGTCAACGACACCCTGAACACCTTCACAAGCACCATGACGCTCGGCCTTGAGACTGTCTTCAACGGCACCATCCTGATCAACCCCATCAAGGACGTCGTCCGCTGCACGATCGGCCTGAAGGTCGAGGCTGTCCAGAAGGGTCTGACGTGGGTTCACGACCACTCGCAGATCTCGTTCCCCACGTTCGACAACGACACGTTCAGCCTCGGCGCTCAAGAGTCAATCTCGGGCGACTCAGACCTCAACACGTTCCTTGCTTCGCCATCATCCGTGACCACCGACGAAGTCACCGGCGCCGTCACCCACGTCACCGACTGGCTGGAGCGCGGCATCATCCAGGAAGCCCTCATCTCTACCGGTATCCTCCTCATCTACGTCATCATCGTTCTCATCGGTGTCATTCGCGCGCTGGTGGGCATGGTAGTGCCAGACAAGGGCCGTGCTGAGGGTGGATTGAGGTATACTGGAGATGACCGTCCGGCCATGAGCCCGAGAAGCCCGCCGAGATCCCACGGCAACGACTCGCGGTTCCCGCAGTTTGGCAGCGATCATTCTGCGGTCGATGACGAGCACTACTCGAGAGACATCCGAGACGAAAAGACGATCAAGAAGACCAGCATGGGGCGCGCGCAGCCCATGGAAGGCCACGAGAGGTCCAGCTCATACGGCCACTTTGACACTGCGTCATCTACAAAGTTTTAAGACGGTATCTATGTCGACAAAGAATATCGAACATGCAGAAAATACAACAAGAAAAAAAAAAGACAAAGAGGTTGGAGACCTTATACCTCCGGCCTGGCTGGACCTTAGCCGAGAGATACCCCTCATTTTACGACAGGTCTGAATAATACGAAGAGCATGAGATAAAAGGCGTTGGATCATGGTGGAATTTACCCCATGGTGGGGACAGGGAGGGAAGGTCGACTCAAAGATACCAACGGCTCAGTTGCCGCACCGTTTGTTTTCGATTCTACAACGGTTCTCATATTTTGCGTTTTGATTCCGCCGGAATGATTTGGTTCGTGGCAGCTTTGCTAGCTACCAGAATGTCTATTCGGTATATACCACTAGGTAGTTGAAGATTGAATATACTGCTAGCTGCAACCAAAAAATCTCAGGTGTCCTGATGGCCGCTGTGTCGTGATGAAACAGACGTGAGTTCGCCGGCGGAGTTGGAGCAATAACACTCACTAACCACGACGGAGACGGAGCCGTTCGGGATAGACGTACCGAGGTGTCCCACAATATTGGATGTGTGGGACATGATTTGGAGTCCGTAGCCATTGCCTGCCGGAGCGGCGACGGGCCAGATGGGCCAGATGGCAAAGTGATGTCTTTGAACCTCTTTTGGGCATCTCCGCCCCGCCGCCGAGGCGAATTGCGCTGTGGTGGGCTCCGCCGCTGGATGGCGGGGCAGGGGCCTGCAGGCCAATTGAGCCACTCAGGAGGCCAGGATTTGGACAAACAGGCCGCTTGCCGGCATCGGTGCGGTGGCGGGTGTGGGGTGCAGCTGGTCCCTGGGGGCTCTGAGGACGCTGTATCTACCGCAGTATCGTCACTACGGCGGGCAGCGTCCGACTTTCCAGCGGGTTGGGGCACCCCAAGCAGCCCTGCGCTCAAGTCGGAGCTCCCGTCCGTGTTCCATCGACTCTGGCTGGCACCGTCCCGCCTGCCTCCGACCAGTGACTCCCCGATCCCCCTCTCCCCACGTTTGTCGGAATCATTCATAAAACTACCACCGCCTTTCGAACTTCCTCCAATTGACCCTCCACAAAGCGACAGCACCGAGTCAATTTCTTCCGTATACCCCATTGGCAGGTTCATATTCAACATGGAAGGTCTTAGGCAAACATTCCAGCGCTGCAAGGCCCAGGGCAGGGTGAGTCTCTGCTGCTTCCCCCGGTCTCGTGCCCCGCGATCGCGATCGAGGGGACCCCGCGGGCGACACCGTCACCGCCGAGATGGAGCACAAGAATACTGAACTGACGATTTGAACAGTCTGCGCTTGTTACCTATGTTACTGCTGGTTACCCCACGCCGCAGGACACGCCCGGCGTCCTGCTGGCCATGGAGAAGGGTGGCGCTGGTAAGTTTTGCCCCTTGTGCTGGGCCCTCGAAGAGGACAGTTACTGACACCGCGCAAGACGTGATCGAACTCGGCGCTCCCTTCACCGACCCAATTGCCGACGGCCCCACGATCCAGACATCGAACACTGTGAGTAGCACCCGCCAAGCGGCTTTTGAGGGCGTTGCGAGGACTAACATGCCCAGGTTGCGCTGCAACATGGCGTCACGATCGAGTCCACCCTCCAGATGGTCAAGGACGCAAGGAGTCAGGGCTTGAAGGCGCCCGTGATGTTGATGGGATACTACAACCCCCTCCTCAGCTACGGCGAGGAGCGCCTCCTGAACGACTGCAAGAGCGCCGGCGTCAACGGCTTCATCGTCGTCGACCTGCCCCCCGAGGAGGCCATCTCCTTCCGCAAGCTCTGCACCAAGGGCGGCCTGTCCTACGTGCCCCTGATCGCCCCCGCCACATCGGACGCCCGCATGAAGATTCTCTGCAAGCTCGCCGACTCCTTCATCTATGTCGTCTCCCGCCAGGGCGTCACCGGCGCTCTCGGCTCCCTGAACGCCAACCTACCGGACCTTATCGACCGCGTCAAGAAGTACAGCGGCGACAAGCCCGCCGCCGTTGGTTTCGGTGTAAGCACCCGCGAGCACTTCCTCAGCGTCGCCCAGCTCGCCGACGGCGTCGTCGTCGGCTCCCAGATCATCACCACCCTGCAGAAGGCCGCCCCCGGCGAGCTCTTCAACGACGTTGAGAAGTACTGCGCGTACCTCTGCGGCCGCAACAGCCCCGAGGGCGCCGAGACCACCCGCGAGGTCGGCATGGTGGAGGCCATGGCCGCCGCCAAGGAGCCCCAGAACCCGACCGTCGACCACATCACCGCCGACCAGGACAGCGAGCTGGTCGCGCAGCTTGCCGCCATGCACGGCAAGATCCCCGAGCGCTTCGGCGAGTTCGGCGGCCAGTACGTCCCCGAGAGTCTCATGGACTGCCTGTCGCAGCTCGAGGAGGGCTTCAACAAGATCAAGGACGACCCGTCCTTCTGGGAGGAGTACCGCTCGTACTACGAGTACATGGGCCGCCCCGGCCACCTGCACCTGGCCGAGCGCCTGACGGAGCACGCCGGCGGCGCCAACATCTGGCTGAAGCGCGAGGACCTCAACCACACCGGCTCGCACAAGATCAACAACGCCCTCGGCCAGCTGCTGCTGGCGAAGCGCCTCGGCAAGACCAAGATCATCGCCGAGACGGGTGCCGGCCAGCACGGCGTCGCGACCGCCACGGTCTGCGCCAAGTTCGGCATGGAGTGCACGGTGTACATGGGCGCCGAGGACGTCCGCCGCCAGGCGCTCAACGTGTTCCGCATGAAGCTCCTGGGCGCCAAGGTCGTCGCCGTCGAGGCCGGCAGCAAGACGCTCCGCGACGCCGTCAACGAGGCCATGCGCGCGTGGGTCGTCGAGCTCGACACGACGCACTACATCATCGGCTCCGCCATCGGGCCGCACCCGTTCCCGACCATCGTGCGCACGTTCCAGTCCGTCATCGGCACCGAGACCAAGGCGCAGATGCTCGAGAAGCGCGGCAAGCTGCCGGACGCGGTCGTCGCCTGCGTCGGCGGCGGCTCCAACGCCGTCGGCATGTTCTACCCCTTCGCCAACGACCCGTCGGTCAAGCTGCTCGGCGTGGAGGCCGGCGGCGACGGCATCGACACGGCGCGGCACAGCGCCACGCTCTCGGGCGGCAGCAAGGGCGTGCTGCACGGCGTCAAGACGTACATCCTGCAGGACAAGCACGGGCAGGTCGCCGAGACGCACTCCGTGTCCGCGGGCCTGGACTACCCGGGCGTCGGCCCCGAGCTGAGCTCGTGGAAGGACAGCGAGCGCGCAAAGTACGTGGCGGCGACGGACGCGGAGGCGTTCATCGGGTTCCGCCTCATGTCGCAGCTGGAGGGCATCATCCCGGCGCTGGAGTCGGCGCACGGCATCTACGGCGCCATCGAGCTGGCCAAGACGATGAAGAAGGGCGAGGATATCGTCATCTGCCTGAGCGGCCGCGGCGACAAGGACGTGCAGAGCGTGGCGGACGAGCTGCCGAAGCTGGGACCCAAGATTGGCTGGGACTTGCGCTTTTAGATGAGGTGTGTTAAAACGAGGGGGCTTTTTCACGACGAATGGACACAAAAACATTTGCAGGCGTAACGAGGGGATATCCATTTTACGGGGATGGGTTTTCATGGGCAATTCTGGGAATATAGCATTGTAGACCACAAAAAGACATAAGGGGGAGTTTCCTCCGCAGTTTTCATGAGAAGGTGTTTGGTACATATGATACAATGAGTTCTTTTTATTTCTTCCTCTCTTCGTGACAACTTGCTTCTTCCGCACGCATACCGAATCATATCGTCCTATCAGACGGCCCGGCGTTCTGCCCCTCGATGTGCACCTCCTCGTACGCCTCGTCAAGCGCCTTCTCCTCCTGCGCCTCCTCGCCGAGCGCGAACCCGCCGGCCTCGGCCCTCCTCAGCGCCTCCTGCATCTCCAGCGAGACGCGGATGTGCTCCACGCGGTCGTGGTACAGCTTGTTCGGGTCCTCGCCCGCCCTGTCGGCGCGGATGGCGGCCCAGCTGCGGATGGGGATGAGCGCGGAGAGGTCCGGCACAGGGGTGCCGTTGCTGGTGGTCAGGGTCTCCTCCGAGACGCCCAGACGCTCCCTCTCGGGCCCGCCGACGGACTCGCGCCAGGCGGCGGAGTTGATGACCATCCAGCGCAGCTTCCAGCCGCTGGGGCCGAGCTCTTTGACGCGGGCGGTTTTCGTCTTGGTGACGTAGGCGTCGAGGCCGCCCTCCTTGCGGATGGTGCGCAGGACGCGGATGGTGAGGCGGGTGCGGACCCAGGCGCCGAGGGCGTCAGACCAGAGGCGGCGGCGGTGGACGTTGGGGCGCCAGGTGCGCGGGGTGATTTGCTTGTGTTTGGGGGCGACGTTGTTGCCGACGCGGATGCGGGCGGAGCCGTAGAGGCCGGAGTTTGATTGTTTGTAGATGAGGCGGGGGCCGAAGGGGTACGGCGGGAGGGCGTCGGAGGGGAGGTTCTTGATGGGGATCGTTTTTGTGAGGAGGGTTGGTGTGGAGGAGAATTGGCGGAGGGTTGGTGGTGTGAGGGCGGTGATGGGTGTGGGGAGGGTCCCTGGGCGGAGGAGGGAGAGGCCGCGCATCGTGGGCGAGGGTTGTGAGGTTCGGTTGCGGTGGAGGAGTGCCTCGAGGGCAGGCGGGAGGGGGGTAATCGACGTCGGTTGGCGGGTAGTGCTTCGTGATGTTCGAGGAATGGAATTTTTGGAGTTGCAGCTTTCCGTTCGGGCGGGCTGATGTTCCGCCCGCTGGTTGCAATTGAGGGGTATGATTGGTTGGAGAGGTGGCTTAGTGGGGGCGGCGACGAGGAGCTGGGTTAAAGTGGAATCAGCTGATTGCGTGTGGGTTTCGCGACCTTGTCGTTGGGCCGGGAGCCAGTCCGTACTACCTTCAACCCCACGCCAGCCTGACGTAGCGAGCAGAGACTCCCTAAGTTGCAGTGACATTCCGACAACCACAGATCAATCATTTTTATTTCGGTCAAGAACAAGTTGGAAAGTCATAATGCTGCCCCCGGTGGAGGAGTCGGTCCTCCAAAATAACCCCGAGTTCGCGGCGCTGCATCACACCCTCACGACGGCCATCCTCAACCCAGACGGATCGTCAAAGAAGCCGTATACCAAGGAACAGTCCGCAATCCAAAATGTACGAATACCCTCAGTTTGAACCATCGCCGAAATCCAGCTGACATCACCCCAGGAACTAGCAGACCACACCTACACAACCGCCAAAGACCACCTCCTCACATCCGCCATCTCGACCACCGCGCCCCCGGACCCGAAACCCGCCCACCGCTCGCTGCGTCCCACATCCACATCCACATCCCAACAACAACCACCACCGCCCTCACAGCAGCAACAACAACAGCTCCCAGAGCCCCTCCTCGACCTCCTCCTCCTCCTCCCACCCCTCCTCACCTCCCCGACCCCCCTCGACCCCGCCTCCGCCGCCATCCTGCTCTCCAACCCGCCCTTCTCCCAGCTGCAATCCCTCCTGCCCCAACTCGGCGAGCTCGTCTCCTCCACGCTGCACACCTCCGCCGTCTCCCTCGCGCGCATCGCCAACCCGTCAACAAACCCCTCCTTCCTGCACCGCACGGTGCCGGGCCTCAACGCAACCTACGCCAAACTCGAGACCGACGTCGCAGCCGCGCGGCACGCCCTGGCTTCGGAGCGGTTGCGCGCGGCGGCTGCGCTGACGGAGCTGTTGGACACGCACGCCGGCGCGCTGACGCTGCTTGTGCGCGCGCTGGAGGCGAAGCACGGGCTGGTCGCGCGCAGCCTGGAGATGCGCGCCGCGGAGACGGGGCTGGAGGCGCAGCGGGCAAGGGCGGAGGCGGAGGTGGCGAGGGAGGGGGTCGTGAGGGAGGTTTATTCGCCGGAGATGGTGGTTGCGCTGGGGAACTATGAGGCGCATTTGAGGGATGCGAGGATACGCTTGGAGGGCACGGTGGCGAATTTGAAGGCGGAGCTGGAGGGGTACGGGGTTGGTGAGGAGGGGAGGGGGGACGGGGGGAAGGAGAGGACGTTGAGGGAGATTGCGAGGAAGTATCGCGAGTTGGAGAGGGAGAGGGACGAGGCGTTGAGGGATTTGGAGAGGTTGGGGAAGGCGTGAGGGACATCAACGGGGGAGTTACGGAAAAATCGAAGAGATTACAGAAGACGCAGAGGTCACGGTCTAGGGAGACAGATTATAAAAGACGTCGCTATATTGTTACACAGCTGGGAATGCGTGTGTGGTCTACCTATGGTGCGCCAACGTTCTATATCCGCCGGCCCGGTTCAGTCCTGGCTTTGCTTAAAGAGAAGGCCTCTCCCCTTTTCGTGTTCGTTACAGTGAAACACACCCTGTTCTTTTGGAAACCGAAGCACCCCATGTCAACACAGAACCCCCATGATATCTCTTTTTTGGTGGAAATTTCACAAGCTACAAAAGGTCGCTGAGCGCTTAGCCCTTGACCTTGTAGATGGCCTCGGCCAGACGGCCGACGTTGCCGCTGGTGATGCCGGCGACGGAAATGCGGCCGTCCTTGGTGGCGTAGACGGAGTGGTCCTTGGCGAGGGCGTCCATCTGCTGCGGGGCCAGGCCGGTGTAGGCGAACATGCCGATCTGGGAGGTGATGTGGGACCAGTCGTGGGCGGAGCCGAGCTTCTCGAGGTTGTCCTTGAGGAGGGCGCGCATGGTGATGATGCGGTCGGCCATGCCCTTGACCTCGCCGAGCCACTGCTTGTTGAGGGCGGCGTCGTTGAGGATGGTGGAGGCGATGCGGGCGCCGTGGACGGGGGGGTTGGAGTAGAGGGGGCGGACGAGGATCTTGACCTGGGAGTCGAGGCGCTTGCGCTCCTCGGGGTCCTGGGCGACGATGGAGAAGGCGCCGACGCGCTCGCCGTAGAGGCCCATGTTCTTGGCGAAGGACTGGGCGAGGGCGATGTTGTGGCCCTCCTTGACGAAGTGGCGGACGGCGAAGGCGTCGGTGTCGGTGTTGCCCGAGGCGAAGCCCTGGTAGGCCATGTCGAAGAAGGAGTAGTGACCCGCGGCCTTGACGGCGTCGGAGATCTCGCGCCACTGCTCGGGGGTGGGGTCGACGCCGGTGGGGTTGTGGGCGCAGGCGTGGAAGAGGAAGATGGAGTTCTTGGGGGCGGCCTTGATGTCGGCGAGCATGCCGGCGAAGTCGAGGCCGATGGTCTTCTGGTCGTAGTAGCGGTACTTGTGGACGGCGAGGCCCGAGTCGGTGAAGACGGCGCCGTGGTTGGCCCAGGAGGGGGTGGGGATGTAGATGTTCTTGGCGCCGGGGAAGTGGCGGGCGAGGAAGGCGCCGCCGATGCGCAGGGCGCCGGTGCCGGAGATGGACTGGGTGATGGCGAGGCGGTCGAGGGCGGAGGAGTCGGGGCCGTAGGCGAGGACGGCGGCGGCCTTTGTGAACTCGGGCACGCCGGTGATGCCGGCGTACTCCTTGTTCAGCTTGGCGGCGACGACCTTCTCCTCGGCGGCGCGGACGGAGGGCAGGACGTAAGGCTTGCCCTGGTCATCGCGGTAGGCACCGACACCTGGGGGGATGTTAGTGAGTAGTTGTTGGAGTGGTTGAGCATCGTGGGGGTTGCGTGTGGAGGTGAAGCTCGTGACAGCTTGTCCAGAGCTCGCAGGCTGAGGTGTGCGTCATGGTGGGGAGGCATCCGTACCGAGGTTGATCTTCTGCTCGAAGGTGTCGGCCTTGAAGGCTTCAGTGATACCTGTTTGGTAGCGTGTTAGCTTCAATTGGGTTCGTGGCTGCTTGCGGGACAAAATAAAAAAGTGAAGCCGCGCGAAGGGTGTGCGTCATACCGAGAATGGCCTGTTCGTCGCAGCAAAAATCGGCCGGTCAGCAAACGAGGTCGTTTTTTCCCCACGGGAGAGGCAGCTTTTTCGCAACATGTCGATGTTCAACTTACATCCTGCAGGAATTCGTTAGCAATCGTGGCGCACTCAATTGGGGCATTTTGGAGTCGGGGCGTATAAGACATACAGGAGGACCTTGGGGGACGTTGGCCCAGGTAGAGCCGGCACGGGCGGCCATGACGGGCAGGGCGGCCGCACGGCGGACGGCGGCTTGCCTGGTGGCGATTCTGGCGGTGGACAGCATCTTGAATCTGGGGTTCTTCTCTTCTTCGGGAGATGAATAGAGAGAAAAAGGGAAGAGGGTTGAAGATGGAGAGGAGTAGGAGGAGTTCGGGAAGAGGTCGAGGTTTTGCTCGGAGGAGGGTGACGAACAAAAAAAAGACTCCGAGACAGCGAAGTGCCGAAAAAGCAGCTGCAGACGGGACACACTGTCACACTAAGGTACTTGGGTACTGGGGGGTGGGAGTCACTCTGAAAGAACTGGACACAATGGAAGCAAGGAACGGGTATGGCGTGGGTGGATAGGTTGGAATGGTCTGACTTGTGACTCTGCGCCTGAACCCGTGGGTGGTGCGTGGTGCTTCCTAGTCGGTCGGGCCACAGCCCACCTACTTTTCTACCTGAGGAGGAGCAGCAACTGCAAGCACCACTGCTAGAGAGCTACGGTTCAGCTGTTGGAGGGGGAACTTCCATCATCCATGACCTCCACTGGAGGAGGAGGGGGCCGGTCCGGTGCGACTCCGGCCCTTGTGACCCCACCTTTTTTGCTGGAGAATCATCGCTGAAGCTTCAGTGTTCTCTCAGATGCACCACTGAAGCAGGCGACTGTGGATCGAGTCATGCGGTGCCCCCACTGAAATCGTGCAATCGCGGGGAAGCGGAGTTTCTGTATCGCCGCCTTCCGCCTTTACTGTCCCCATGGTCTGTGCGCAATCCCACCTGGGGGCCCACGGGGAGCCAATTCCGACCACTCTGAGCCGCTGTTTTCTGACTGGAGCGCATCCGGCACCCTTCCATTTCTCTCAGTCTCTCCCGTCTGGACACATGGTCCGGCTTCGGATCTTTTGACCGTTCTCAGCTGAGGCTCTCGTCTCGAGGTTGCGCTTCGTCATGCCCCCCCAGGATCGGGATTGTGAGCCCTCCCCCTGGCGCTGCTTCTCAAATGAGCCACTTCTCATTCGCTCGCTTCAATGGGAGTTTTGCGTGCTCGGAGTTTGCAACCTTGCTTTTTCGGACTTTGCCATCCGGTCCGCCGACCCAGCACCCGCGAATGCACCGGCTTCCCTCCGTGTGCGCGGCATGAACCCCGAACGCCTCGGTTTCGCTATTGCCATGGTGTATCTCATACAGCGGCTTTCACTCACTTTAGGCATTTACTGATTCCAGTTCATGGTATATTGATTCAAGTTTCCGCCTGATAATTGCAGGATTATATTCACTCAGTGCTGGAAGAGAAAGCTTCAACGTGGTCACCGATAAACTTCACGCAAGTTCTGATCCGTCGCAGTACCCTCGACCCTGGGCACAAGACGAAACGCTGCTTAAGCCGCAGCAGCCGGCGTCTCCTCCTTGGCTTTCTCCGGCTTCCGCGCGTAGACGAGATGTCTGGAAAGGAATATACATTAGCATGGGCAATTGTGTGCTCGTCATGAGGGAATCACTTACATGTCGATCCTAGGCTGCAGCTGGGAGTCCTTGAGAGCCTTCCGCATCTCGGCCATGAACACCACAATCTCGGCGTACTCCCACCCCATGATCTCCTTGGCGAGAAAGGTCCCGAACCCCTCGAGACCTTCATCCAGAAACTCCAACAGACATGTGCCAACCTGTTTCCTTTAGCGCCACTCACTCCGATCAATCAGAGCGAGAGTCTAAAGCTCATGCACGGGAATTCAGACTCACCTCCTTCAGAATGGGATCCTTCGGCCACGGCCCAATCGGGACAGGCCACTTCTTCTCCACGACGTCCACAAACCCCGCGGCCTCGAGGTTCTTCTTGATGCCGTGGTCGCGGTGCTGCTTCGCCGTCTTGCCGAGGCGGTCGAACGCCTCGAAGAACAGCCGCGCCCAGCGCTTGAAGACGTGGTCTTCGTCGAGCTCCGTGATCACCTGCGACTTGACGTCGATGTCGAACTCCTTGATCTCAATGTACCCGACGCCCGGCTTCAGGTTCGCCAGGGCCTCCGCGTAGAGCGCCGGCCAGTCCGCGACGCAGCCCTCGAGGTTGCGGATGTGGATGAAGTCGAAGTGCTCTGCCGGCCAGGTCCACGGCAGCTGTTCGATGTCGTCGATCTGGAACTTGCAGTTGGGCGGGACCCATGTGGGCTGCGTCGGGGAGACGTCGACGCCGATTACCTCTGCGGAGGGGAACTCGTCGGCGAAGTCGCTGGTTGCGCTTTAGCTCTCGAGTTTCACCGTGATACTTGAAGGTGTTGGAGACTCACATGGCCCAGATGCCGGTACCAGTGCCGAGATCGAGAACCCTCTGGCATTCGACTTCATCAGTACGCTCTTCTTCAAGGGTGATACACATCCTTAGCTCACCTGCGGCTTGTCGCCAATCGGCGCAAGAAAGAGCTTGTCGTCGAGGAACAGCGTCATCCAGTAGTGGCTGCCCAGGTCAGCACTCGAAGCATCAGCATGGAGAGCTAGGCAACTCACTTGATTTCGAGCGCTTCGCCGTGCTTCTCGTCGTTGGGGCCGTAGTAATCAGTCTTTTGGGTGTACGTGCGGCCGTGAAGGCGGCGGTATTCGGTGATGCTCTCAGAGAGCGACGCCGTAGATGATGTGACGACACTGCATTAGATGAGCATACAAGAACGTTCTTGTGATCTTTCCAGAGTCGTACCTTTCCGCGTCCCCTCTGGTCTCATCCTCAGTCTCAATCGCGGGGTCCTACGCCGACTTGCGGTCAGCCCAGCCTTACCCTCTTACCACCACATCATCATCCGCCTCATCTTGTCTTCACACTCACCGCCGCGATCGTGCCCTCAGCTGCAGGCGGGTCGGTAGCCGCAGCAGGTTGATTCGTAGAGGCCATCATCTTGTCACAGTTTCGATTTGAGAGTTCCGGTATTCGACTGCGAAAGAAGAAAGCATGAAGATTCTCGCGCGACGGCACAAAAACCCCTCTTTTTGTTGTTGGTTCGCATTCTGGCGTTCTGCATCCTACGGACCGGGGGGGTCCAGTCTCGCCAAGAGGAAGGCCGATTCCCCGGACGAATTACACAACCCTGGCCATGCACTCGGCTGGAGCATTTGAGCCGCTTCGGGAAGGCCAGCGGGGAATGAAGCCTTATTGGGTGTTGATTGCAACGCTTGCTGCGTGGATTCCGAGACAACGTTGGCGAGATGTTGGGTTGATTGGGTGGTTTGGCTGTTCCGGCACGGTGGTCCGCTGCGTAGCCTGATTGCTTTGCGCAACCACGTCGACCACGTCAAAGGATAGCAGAGCAGAGCATCGCGCGTGTCAAAAGAGGCTGACTGCTACAATAGGGGGCGATTGAGATGGAATGGCAAGATGTACTTCCACACCACCACTTCCTCACCAACACGACACTCTCAGGCCTAGGACAGACCGCCCGCCACGAATCTCACGCGACGATGAAAAAGAGGGAATCACGAATTGATATTCAAACCTGCCACACCCTCCCTACATCACCTATAATGTGAGCCCTTGAGAATCATCGCCACCTCCGGGCAGTACATGTCGATGTCCTCCTGGTGGTCCTGCTGAAACTTCTGCACCTGGTGATACCCCAGCGGCTTCTCGAAATATTGCGTCTCGACCGAGAACTTGCCCGCGACCTCCGCCTCCGGCAACTTGCCGCCCCTCTCCTTGACCTTGTGGTAGAACCACTGGTCCTCGTAGTTCACCTCGCCCGCCGCGGCCGGGTCCTTGGCCACCCTCGCCTCGAGGTCGCGCGCGATCTCGAGCAGCATGCCCGGGTTGCGCAGCGACAGCCCGCCGTTGTACCCGAACCCGAAGCCGGGGCGGATGGGCGCGCCGATGAGGTCCCACTCGAGAAAGTCCTCGAGGCGGTGCGCGGAGTTGGCGCAGACGATGCTGTCGACCTGGAACATGAGCACGCGCGCGTAGGGCTGGAGCTGCTCCCACAGCCAGGTGCCGACGAGGAAGGCGGAGACGGACTCGTGCGTCGGGAAGGTGGTGTTGGGCGGGAGGAACTTGACGATGATCTGGTTGGCGTCGACGGCGCGGCGGAAGGCCGGGGGCGCCTCCCAGGCGGCGTAGTTTTCCCAGTCGGTGACGAAGGAGATGGGCCAGTCCGGGCCGATGACGGTTGCGAAGTGCATCATGATGGGCACGATGTTGGGCACGTGGGCCGGGTCGGTCTCGACGAGAAGGGCGGTGTATTTGGGTGCCGGGGGAGGAGGCGGCGGCGGCGGCTTCACGGCTTCGGGGGCTTCGTATGAGAGGGGTTCTGCGTCGAGGTCGGAGATGCGCTGGCTGGTGAGCTTGGTTCCAGCCCGAGGGCGGTCATCGCCGCTCGAGGGCGCCGCCGTGCCGTCGTGGTGCTGAAGTTCGGGTCAGCTGCTGAGCGTAAGAGGAGAGGAGAGAGGGCAAGACCAACACTGAAGAGCAAATCCCATGTTCCCGTCATCAACAGGAACATGAAGAAGACGGCCACGAACACGAGAGGGTTCGGACGGCTATTGCTTCCGAGACCCATGGTGTCGACCGACTGGCGGGATCTCGGGAGAGGATTGAGTCGAGGTATGGGAGAACAAAGAGATCACCGAGGCGAGAACCTTCGCACGCGTGTAGTTGGGTTGAATGGGCTGCCCAGGACATTAAATAAGTCTTGGTTCCCGGCACATGCCATTCGAGCTCGCCCTTGGAACTGCCTCGACCAAGTGGGCCGGCGCGTGCCATTGTGCCTCTTTTCGAATCATCTCCTTAATTCCTGAGACATGAAGTCCCTGTTCTTGCTGAATAACGTTTGTCTAGTGATGGAGGGCTGATGCAGAGGCTGAAAATTAGAGATCCCATTCGTGACCGTCGCCGCCACATAATGCTTCCGGCCTCTGTCCCACGCTCACTTCTCGATACGCTTAATTCTTCCCTCAGCCAGTGATTTTGAGCGACGAACATGGTCTAAGATCTTCCACTGCCAGCTGTCTCTGGCGGGAACTAAAGGTTTCACGTCTCGGGGACTAGAGGGATACACTCATGGCATTCAGGAGCGGCCGCGTTGGAAAGGCAGAGAGAAATGCCGATGGGGCTGAGAATGTGACCCGAGTTAGCAGTGGGGTACCCTTCCGGAATGCACTCTACTGACTAGGTGGATGGAGCTGGTGAAAGATGAGAGATCTTCTTCAGAGATTCCGTGATGCACCGTTTCATTTATTTTTGATGTCGCTCGGCGCGGATGTCTCATTTGGCCACCTCATCACCGATCTTCGCCAGCCGGTCTAGACCTGTGCGGCTATCGCCGTGCGATATCTTGGGAACTCATGTCTCCCTCGAGCCGAAGAGGCTAGAGTGCTCTGATTCAGATCCGAGGGAGGAATCCTGCGTGTACAACTGCATGTACGGTGACGTTTTTCGAGCGCTGTCCTCACAATGATCAAGTCAAACAACCGCATCGAGTGGTGTCTAGCCTACCTGCTTATGTATGCTCTTTTGAATGCCCGTGGCTCGCTATCCAATCATCATAGTTGTCCGTCATGAATTGCTGAAGGGCCGTTTCCTCTCGGACCCCTCTCCTCGGCGAGGACTAAACATCAGCGCGCCAATTTCGCCAACAACTTTCAGCAAGCCACGATATCTCAAGTCGCATAGCCTTCACGCGCATCTCCCCAGCCAGGAAGCTTAATTCGCTGCAGTGCGCGATCGAGTCAAGATGGGGCTAATCCAAACATGTAAGCCATCCAAAAGCCACCAACCATCAAAGACAACATTTCCCCCTAGCCACATCCATCCCTGCTTCTGCCCCCACGGCTGCGGCGCTTTTCTCATTCCTGTTGTCTCCCTGAAAACGTGGAACGCCCTCCATTATTGAATATGAGCGCATTCCTGGTTGATTGAACAATTTGACCCCCTTTTTCGAGGTACGAAAGGGGGGGTTCTCGCCGATGTGTGATGATTACGCGTACGCTGCAGCTGTGTCGCAGGACGTGAATCTGGAACGCTGTCGGCATCTTTTTTCTTGCGCGATAAGCTGTCGAGTAATTTCCGTCGTCCCCATGCTGTCGTGAGCGCTTTATGTGCCCCGTTTGCGGCGCCGAATGTGCCCTTTCGGCCGCCATGCTGGAGACATGTACTCTACATTTGCTCATAAATATGTCACCGCCCAGCTTTGTCTATCAAATTCATTGTTGAAATGACTATGCGCTCAGAGCTGCCATGCACACAGGTGTCTACAGACTACAGCCGGGTTCAGTGGGCATACAACTACCCAGCTCTACATGAATCTCTCGTCATTCGATGATAACAGACTATGCGTAATTTTCACCATGGCTTTGTCTGAGATTGTCGGACTCAATGCTCACCCGCGGGGGAAGCCCACAGTGTAATAAGAAAATTGGTTTGTATCCCGTCCAGATTCACGCAATAATCTACCCCAAAATATTCCAGGTCATCCATTTTGTCTATGAGATGCAATGAAATTGGTGTTTACAAGGTCGCGCGTGTAGCCGCAGCCTCTGCTAGAGAAAGCCTTTATGCGCTTGAGCCTAGCCTAGTGACCGCCGCCCTTTCCCGGGAAATTGTGACAGCAAGGCTTGTCGCGGACCTCGAGTTGTTCTCTGCATTTCGGTGTCAGATTCAGTCGATATCGCAAAGTACGCTTACAGATGAACTGCTTACTCGGTCAGCGTCGGAGCGGCCAGGACCGCAGACGCCATCATGGCTGCGATGAGAGTGAAATATTTCATCTGCGAATGATATTAGACAGATCACGGGGGAAGCAAGAAAAGCGGCCAAGTGTTTCAACTAACGTTGCTGGTGGAAAAAGTCAGAGCCTCAAAGTTGTGGTTCAATACCGAATCGGGTGCTTGTCAGTCGAATTGATTGAATCAGGGCTCGAAGGTTGAATGTACATGCTGACTTTAGCCTGGTATTTAAGCAATTCGTTTGTACAGATTCTTGAACAAGATATTAGAATTCGGCAATCCGAAAGCCCGATTGCGACCTTCACCAAACTCTAATAGAACCGTTGATAATGCACAATACAGCTATACGGGTGTCCTCGTGCACATATCCTACGTCCCTCGTGTATCGAGAAAACGTCGCTTAGGTGTTTGGCGTCTCGATAGGTCTAGAACTCACTCATTTTTATTAGAAAGAGGAACTCTAAGCGGTGTTTGGCTGAAGACGCTTATCCCCGGACAGGGACCAGCTTTAGGAGTTAGGTTTTGCAGCACGAGTCGGAATGTGTCCGTCCTGTCGAATATGGCAATTTTCCAGGAACGGAAAGCTTGGGGTTTGAATGCTGACTCGACGGCGAACGCCATCTGTGAGATAGCACGGGGGAGGTGCTCGACTGACGTCCATGGAACCTTTGGCGATTCGATAGAAATTGAGAGTCGGCGGTTCTGGCGTCTTTGGCATTGGGTCCTCGGTTGGAGATAGTGGATGAGAAGAGAATGGCGTGGCTTTCTTGAATTTCTAGAAAAGACAACTTTACATCACGTTTGATATAGGGAGCCGCGAAGCCGAAGGTATGATACTTGCATTCCGCGAGGCAAGATGTGTGTTCCCCACGAGTCTTGGTTGCTTGGAGCCCTTCCGCTTCTTGTCAACTTAAACGTCGATAGGGCTTATCTTGGCCAGCATGGTATCCAAATCAACCCAGCCAAGCTTATTTGATCGGACTGCCTCAACAAGAACTTGACTTCTGGAGACATCTCGCAGAAACGGAACCTCCGCGTTGAAAGTCAAACTTTTTCCGGACAGCTCGTGATGGAGATACGATCGTGGTTCCTCGCCTGACGGCCCGATCACTTGATAGAACAGGGGTTTGATTGGACTTATATAAATGTGCAATGTGCATGATTCAGATACGGGCAACAATACGACTGGTATCAAACGATATGAACTCGCCTAGATTCGTTCCCAAACTGAGGGTTTAAGTTAGAGGTTAAGTTAGAGGTTAAGTTAGAGGTTAAGTCAGAGGTGAAAGTTATTTTGAGCAGTGGAACAGTCACACGACCAACGCCGAACTAGGTAAGTTGGAAGCCTTCATAGTCGTCGTGCAGAAAATGGATATCCTGTCCGGGTGTCTTAGACCACAACCATTCTTCTTCGCCCATGAAGTCACCACGAGGCCCGTGAAGAGGCATGCTAGTTGCTGTCCCTATCGCTTTTTGTAGACCTCTTTGGGCTCTGTAATCTTCCGGGCCTGGTACATAGCTAACCGAGACCTTGGACGCTCATAGCCCTGCCCAGGAACAGCGCAGTATACTAATTAATTAAGTTAAAACTGAGGCTTGAGATTAGCTAATTAAATGACTTTTTATGATACTTTTAATTATTTTAACTAATTTAATTTAATTTAATTTAAATTACTTAAATAAGAAGTTAGTGAAGTTTTTATAATATTCTTAGAGGGTCTAAACTTATATTATATAATAATCTAAGGTTATATAGCTTTTTATTAACCCCTCTACTTAAAATAGTAGTTACTAATAGTAATATTACTACTTTAAATTTAGTTTTAGAAGTATTAGGTTTTTTTAAGTTATAAAAGCTTTATTAATAGCTTTTATAACGTTAAAACTAATTTAATAAAGCTAAATATTTTCTTATAGTTTATTATTATTACTAAGATAGTAAAGATATTAAGGGTAAATTTACTAAGTATTAAGAAAGTTTATTAATATAAAATCTACTACTAAATAGGATTATTAATAAACTTAGTAATTAAGAAGCTAAAATATTACTTTAGTTTATTAGTTTTATTAATAATAGTATTATAAACTTTACTATTTAACTATTAATAATATTTAGAGTCCTTAGCTTTTAAAGTAATAATAAGTAATAAAAAAGTAGCTTATTAGAGCTTTAAATAAAGTTAATAATTAATAAGGTTAGATCTCTTAGCGTATTATTATTCTTAATACTTTTAAAATCTTTTTTAAATATTATAAAGCTATTTATAAGTTTCTAATATATTTTAGCGTTTTTTAAATTATTATAAGCTTTAACTAAGATATAAAATTATTATAATAGTATAGAGGGGAGACTTTATAAACTTAATATAATATTTATTAAGTATTTATTAGTTATTAATAATTAATAAGTATAAGTAGCTATAAGAGTTAAAAATACTACACTAGAGGTATTATAAAGGTATATAATTAGATTAAATATAAATTAGAATATTATTAATTAATAAAGCTTATAAAACTACTACTAAAGCTTTTAAAAAGTATTATAATACCTTTATAAGTTAAGATAGTTATTATAACTAACTTTAAGTAAATTAAGTAATTATAAAGTTAATTTCTTTATTAATAAGAGTATTATAAAACTTATATTAATCTTTAAGTTAATCTAAGAGGTACTATAAGGGGCTAGCCCTTAGTTTATTCAACTTAGGGGTGCCTTAATTATAGGAATCTAAGCTAAGGAGGGGAGGGTTCTAAGAAGCCCCTTATATAGAGGAAAAACAGGTATAAAGTAGTAGTTAAGTAAACGTAGTCGCTAAAGGCAGAATTCTCCTAAGTT